GGGTCGCAACTCAGAGGCAGGCAATGGCACCCCACCTCCGAATGTCTCTTGTCACTCCCCCCCCTTGTATGTGGCCCTAGATTAAGATCAATGCTAATTGGAACATGTAAACCGCTCAGAGCCCTCAAGAGGGGTGAGCGGTATATACATTGAATGAAATAAATACAATAAATTGCCATGAAAACCCCATGGGCTCACCATAAGTTGGCTGCGGCTTTACAGCAAAAAAACAACCAACCAATCTTCTTGTACTAATGCTGCATTCATTGGACATAAACGGTTGTAACCTGTTAGCACTTGCTTCCAAGGAAACATGCACAGGATCTGCCTAGAAGAAAGGAAACGTAGGTGATGTTGCCTTGGGAAAGAACACCATCCTTTACGTTTTCTTGTCTGCCCTCTGTCCCAGCATCCTCAAAGACTTTCCAAGAATCTCAAGAGAAAGAGCCTTAGAGAGCATTCCGTACCACTCAGGGGAGAGCATGACTTTAATGGCAAGCTGTGACTGGTCAAGTGTGAACTGTATGACACCCGGGACACATTTACCAGTAGTTCTCATAGTAAATCAGTGATAAACTGCCAGTATGAATGTTGAAACAGATATTCAATATAAATTTGTCTCCTTGTGAATTTCCCAGTTAATAACAACCAATAAATGTCCTAAGTAAATATTAACAACCTAACTAGGGCTCCCTGAAGTACTGCAGCTCACTCACAGCGGAGGATAACTAAATAATCATTTTAACAGGATAATGAAAGAATTCTTTCATTGTTAAAAAAAGAGTCTGTAGAGTAACACATTTTTTAAAATTCCCTCAGTCACACCTGCAAGTATTTTTGGTAAATATTTGGGCATGAATCCTAGTAGGTGGCATTTTTACAGCAGGTGGCAAGCCACCGCAGCTGGTGGGATCCCACTGGTGAACAGAAGGGGCCACACATCTCTGCAAAAGTGAATTGTGAGCGTCAGCGTGGAAGGCGGCTGGAGGACTCTGAAATGGCAAATGTGACTAGAAGACCGTGGGCCACTCTGCAGTTGCAGACTTGAAGTAGCCAACCTGATGTCAACATATCAAAACAAAAGAGAATGGAGGGGGGTGATTAGTGTGCAGAAAATAATCTGAATGCACAGAGGCATTCAGATCTTCATAATCAGTCCTTTAAAATGAGTCTGATAAGAGTGGGAATAGTTTCTGGGGGAACTAAGCAGGTGCTCAGATTAAGTAGTGGGAGTATTAATTAACTGCAGTGCATTTAAAACAGCAACAATGAAATCCATGACCCCGCTCTTGGAGACACATCATTAAAAGAGCACGTTTTGAATGTGTATGTTTTTCCCCCCTGCTTGAGATATTTTAATGCATGGTTCTGGGTTGTTAATCCTTCATTTCACAAGCTCTTAATGACCATTGGAAGAATTTTTGTATCTGAGTGACACAGACATATTTCACCTTCTGATTTGACCTGCTCTGGCTTTTTCACAACACTGGCCAAAGAATACATTTGCTTGGTTTGTGGGCATAATAAACAGTATGGAGCAACTACTCATCCTGTCCCATTTTATGGCTCAAATGTTTTCATAGCCTCAAAATACTGAATAGCATTCCATGGTACTCATCTGCTCCTTCTGTTTCCTTCCTTACTGTCTGTTGGTTAAGGTACAAAATCTTGAGGTCAGTATGTTTCTTACGAAAGCAAATGTAGAATGCCTTCTACCTTTTCTTGGTTTGCTAGCTTGGCCTTCGGAGTTTCAGTCTTGTAACAAAAGCCACAGAAAGCCAGTGCTGTATTTCTAAGCCTTCTGTCTTCACTGCAGCTGCACATACCTTCATGTAGGAGGAGGCAGAGAAACCAGAAGATCTCATTTCTGACACCATTGAATGAGAAGATTCCTTTTCTGACCCTTGTTTTTCTTCTTTCAGGCTCCAGATGCTTGAAGCCATCTGCAAACACTGGGAAGGACCTATCAGCTTGGCGCTGTATCTTTCCGATGCGGAGGCCCAGCAGTTTCTGCGCTATGCCCAGGGCTCTGAGGTCCTCATGAGTCGCCACAATGTTGGGTACCACATAGTATACAAAGAGGGCCAGTTCTACCCAGTAAACCTCCTGCGGAATGTGGCAATGAAACATATCAGCACGCCCTACATGTTCCTATCAGACATTGACTTCTTGCCTATGTATGGACTCTACGAGTACCTCAGGTAACACAGGAAGTGTTCACACACAGAGATTCAGAGTATAAACTCAGTTTGTATGAGCATCAGCCTGACAAGGAAGCAGTTTAAACCTGAGGATAGGGTGCTCCCCTGGAGTTCAAAGTCTAGCATTGTGGAGGGTGAGCTAACCAGAAAGAGGGAGACAAATACTCCCAGCTCCAGAGTAGTATAGGGAGCCAAAAATAAAGTCAGCTGTAAGAATCAGGCTGCTATATCTATACCAAAGGTGGTAGTTTGAGTTTAAGGGACACACACCTGCCACGGTCAGTCGGTGTTCCTTAAGAGCTTTTTAGACCACTATCCCCAGCCCATGCAGACACTGCATATAAAAACACTGGAACAGAGATGCTGCCATATCCTCCACCCATCTGTGGATGTCTTTAACAAGAGGAAATGTGGGGGGAAATGCTATTGAAGTTGTTATCTCTCTGACATACTGTTAACCTAGTGTTTGAAAGTGGAGGTGTGATCCAAGCAGGTTAGATAAGCGATTGAAAGATAAGATCTTGTCAAGGCAGAATAATTACTGCACTGGGCTTGGGTGAGGGATGGCTTCAATGGGTATTGTGTAGCAAGGAATGTGAACAAGTTGGGTTGCCTGGTCTTGAGACCTCTGCTCTGTGTACGTGGCCTCTCCTAATGAATAGTTTTGGCTTTACTTGCCCCTGCTGAATGGAGCAATGAGGACACCATCTGGCCAGCCAAAGGATCTCACTTCCATGATTTTTCTTAGCTTGCTTTCTGTTTTATAAGGGATTGTTTTTCTCATTATGCCTCTCCAAACCTTTTTCATTCCTCCCAGCTTGAGCGTCTCCTTTGGGGTGGGTGGGTTCCTGCCTATTTCTGTTCCCACGTATCCTGTCACAGGCTTTGTATCCCCTATCTTTATAGGGTCAATAACGCAAAAACTTATGACATTATAGATGCACTGAATTGTTTTTTTGTGCTGACGATATTGGTTAGGTGTACTAACCATTCCTTATTTGCTCTCTGCAGTCAGGGAGCAGGAAGCTTGGGAGGTCTGCTATCCCCGATTTTTACTTCCCCATCCCAGCTTGCCCTAGCTAAGGCCAGAGCGTGCGGTACTTGGATTCAGTTTAGCAGAACTGACATTTCTCAAGGCAGGTTTTGCTTCACACAATACATGGATCATGTACCTTTTCCTCTGGCAGAGTGATCTGTTTGTGGCAGGATGGGAAGGAAACCTTGGATACAAGCATGTTTTGTGCCACCGAGAATCCCAGCACCTTCCTTTGGTCTTAGAGGGTGGAGGTTGTTTCCCTCCTCTCTTCTTTCACAACATGGTAATTGCATGCCCTGTATTCTCACTGTGTTTGAGGTCATCTTACTGGCCCCCACTTTTGCCCTACAGTTAAAATATGCCACAGTATATTTTGCCCCTCAAAAGACAGTGGTGAGGCACTGTCCAAAAACAGAGCTTTCAGGGAATAACAGGGACTCTGTGATTAAATGAGGTCGACTGCCACCCAGAGGACACATGGAATAGAAAGGGAGCATCCTTGCAGTTTGTACATTGTTATCCCACCCTTTCCCCGAGGAGCTCAGGGCAGCATCCACGATTCTGCCCCCTCCTCCAATGTTATCCTAACAACAACTCCGTAGGGTAGGTTAGGCTGAGAGTGAGTGACAGGCCCGTAGCCACCCAGTGAGTTTCATGGCAAGTGGGGATGTGAAGCCAGACCACCCTAGTCCCAATCCAGTCCCCTCTCATTCAGTGGTCGTGCACGTTGATCTGAGACTGCTGACTTCATTGTCTCCTTTATATGATTATTTGCTTGTGAAAAAGGTCCGGGGATTTCTCTCATGTGGTATCAAACAAGCTCCTTCTTGTGGACACCGTGTTAACATGTGGGTGAGGTCGTGCAATACACTGGAAGTATCATTATACAGTTTTCAAACTCTGAAAGTTGCGAAAGTTTGCTTGTGTAGCTTCTAGTCTGGAGACCGTCCCCAATCCAAATACGTAAGCATGTAAATCAAGTTATTCAGCTGTGTTGTGGGATGAGAAACTTGCAGGGGGGGCCAGCCCCCACCTCTCAGAATCTCTTGAAGAGCAGTCAGCATGACTGACGTCTATTGTGCAGAAAGCCCCAATGCTAGAGCACTGCATTACAGTGGCATTACCCCACGCTCCAAATTCTTGGATTAGGGCCATCAAACACACCATTCTTTCTGTGAAATGTCTGCCTTCTTGCACCCCACCTCCTGGCTGCTTTCTCTAGTGGATCTGTGAATGGGACAGTGAAAAGAACATTCCTACATTGTGCAGGGTAGGGAAATACTTTTGAGTCAGGAGGAAATGATTAAAGCAAGATTTGTGCGGGAGTTAAGGAATTGCCGGTGAACTGGAAATTGTGGTCATGGTTTGGGCTGCATTCAGAGTAGGGATGCCAGCCACCAGGTGTGACTTGGGGATTCCCTTGAATTACAACTCATCTCCAGACTAAAGAGATCAGTTTCTCTGGAGGAAATGGGTGCTTTGGAGGGTGGATTCTATACCCCACTGAGGTCCCTGTCCTCCCCAGGCGCCACCCCCAAATCTCCAGTAGTTTCCCAGCCCCAGTTGTAACCCAGTTGAAACCTCAAGAAATAGCATCCCTGTTTCTCTGTCAGAAAGACAAGATCCCTCTTTACAGTCATAGAGTGAAAGCCAGTGTGTTGCAGTTATTAGAGTGTTCCACTGGGAGGGGGTGGCGACCTGGTTCAAACCTCCACTGCCATGAACCTCACTGACAGGTCTCGGGCCAGTAACTCTATCAGTCTGAGTCAATTTATAGAGTTGTCATGAGGGTGAAACACAGAACGGGAGAGAGATCTCTTTGAGCTTCTTAAAAGAAGACCGGGATTTTAAAAAATGTGATAATTCAACCTCTTAAATGAACAAATGCATAAATCTGGGAAGCTGTCTTGACTGAGTCAATTGGTCCAGCTTTGTCTTCTCCAACTAGCATTAGTCTCCAAGGCCTTAGGGGTCCATGGATTGTGCCTAAGACCTTGTGAATTAAAGCTGTGTGCTGTGCACCACTGAGTCATGGCCCCTTGTCCCTGTTATATGTCCATCATCTCCCTTCTCGTCTGGAGTTTTGTCCATGTGTCCCATGTGTGGAAACATTATTTAAGAGAGCCAGTGTGGTGTTGTGAACATAAGAACATAAGAGAAGCCAATGTTGGATCAGGCCACTGGCCCATCTAGTCCAACACTCTGTCACACAGTGGCCAAAAAATACCAGGTGCCATCAGGAGGTCCACCAGTGGGGCCAGGACACTAGAAGCCCTCCCACTGTTGCCCCCCCCAGACACCAAGAATACAGAAAATCACTTGCCCCAGACTGAGAGTTCCTATCTATACCTTGCAGCTAATAGCCACTGATGGACTTTGTGGTTAAAGAGCGGCAGACTGTAACCTGGAGAATCGCGTTTGATTCCCCCACTCTTCTGCATGACGTCTGCTGGCTGACCTTGGGCCAGTCATAGTTCTCTCAGAACTCTCTCAGCCCCACCTGCCTCATAAGGTGCTTGTTGTGGGGAGAGGAAGGGAATGTGATTGTAATTATAAGCCACTATGAGACTCCTTAAGGTAGAGAAAAGCAGGGTATAAAAACCATCTCTACTTTCTCTTCTTCAAGCACACTTTGAAAATATTTTTGGGGTGTGTATGTGTGTGCTTGTATGCCTGGAAGGCATGGTGACTTCTGTTGACCCCTACTGAGGGCTTGGACATTTTCCAGAGAGGTGGCTTGATCGCCTGCCTCTGTGTCCTGAGCCCTGGTACTCCTTGGAGGTCTCCCTTCCAATTACTTGCCAGGGTCGGCCCTGCTTAGCTTCCGAGATCTCATAAGATCGGGCTTGCCTGAGCTATCCAGGGTGCACTTTGAAAATATTTTTGAAGTGACTATGAGGTTCTTCTGCAGATAGTTTCTTTCAGAGTCTGAGGAGGGCAGAGGGCCACTGCAAACTGCATATTTAGGTGTAGCCCATGAAGTAATCTTCCGAGGCACTGTGTAGACATAAGAAACACTCTAGGATATATTCTGATTTATCACTTGTTCCATATTAAACATTCTTTCTGGCAGCAGCTGCATAAATCTTTCTACTTCAGCCACCGTGGCACATAGTATAAATTAAAAATACTCCTAGAAGTAAAGCTGTGTTAGATTAGGAAAAGGCTAAATATTCAGTGTGTGTGGTGCTATCAAGCCTAGTGAACCGTATCAAATGAAAAATGTTGTACAAGGTGAAAAGGAAAATCAGCTGAAAGAGTTCATAAGTCTCCTCAACATAAATAACTCAGATTCTGATAGAACATCCCTATGTGAACCTGAAGGCAGATTTTTAAAAATTATTATTGCAAAGCAATGATGCAGCTCTGACTTTTATAGAAGCCAGAAGGCTCTTGGGAATCACAAAGTCCACACAACTGAAGGGAAGTTTCCATAACAATTCAAAATAACTTCTTCCTAATTCCCACCCTGCTGCTGAAAGAACTGCAGTTTCCCAGATTTCCTTTGCAGAAGGAATATCATTTATAAGGCCATGGTGGAGATACCGGGTTGCCAGCTCTGGGTTGGGAAATAGCTGGAGATTTGGGGGGGGGCGGAACTTGAGGAGGGTGGGGTTTGAAGACGGGAGGGGCTTTAGTGGCATAGAGGCCACCTTCCAAAGCAGCTGCTTTCTCCAAGTGAAGTGACCTCTGTCAATCCCAGGAGATCTCTAGCTACCACCGGCAGGTTAGCAACCCTCTGGAGGGTAGGTCATTTCATAATCATGCCTGTACTTGAATTATGCAATCAAGATGCCTGTTTGTACAATTCATCATGATTACAGAAATCAGTAGCATTTTTTTTAATTTCCTACTATGTCCTGTGTGTGGCTTATCAAGAATTAGGAAGGGATGGCAACCTGGGAGTAGATGAAGTCGGCGTCATGGTGGGGGGACAAGCTTCCCACTGGCCAAAACAAACATTGGCTCCATTCAGATATTGTACGGACCCATGGTTTACTTTAACCAACTCTGGCTTTATCCTTGCCAGGGCTCTGTGGGGGAAAGTGCTGGGGGTGATAACTACAGCCTCTATGGAGGCAAAACAGCATCTTGAATTATCTCTGCAAGCCCAAACCTTGAGCCACAATTGTTACGACGAGTCACTAGTTATGTGGTCCACAGGCAAGGCACCACGTTTAAAAAAAAAATAATCTCAAGATTCAGTTTTACTTCAGCATCTCTAGAAGAAAACTTTATCAACAGTGGCAGTAATTTATATCCAAGTGTTTATTACACTAATCATCTCATTTTAAGTTAATCCTAGTTTTGCACCTGCTTTGTGTAACGATTTAACTGCTGCATTAGTAATTCCTCTCCCACTCATACTAACATTTGTTTTTCTTTCTTTTTGTCTTACATTGTTAAACAGAACTTGTAAGAACAGGGCAAAGAGGTTTCATTTCTGGTGTTTGTACAGAAAAGACAAGAAATGCCTCCTTTCTTTTGAGGGGCTACTGTTGTACCAAAACACAAGCCGCTTTTCTGGTCTAAGGGCAATTTTACCCATGAATGATTTAGTACTATTAAGCTAAAGTGGAAGGACCAAAGAGAAGAGCTCCATCTAGTGGTGTGTTGTAGTCACTGTTCTGATTGCACCACTCATTCTAATCCTGCCACACCATGAACAGGAGAATTTATCTCATGAGTGCTGGTACTGATATCAGCACTTGCAGGCAGATGGTATTGCAGGTGATCCAGCATACCTGAAACACCCAAGTCAAACAAGCACCATATGCTGATTTGGAGTAGCAGAGGCCATGACACAGCAATGAGGGCACTGCACCTGTGTGGCAGATGCATTTCAGGTATGCTGAATGACCTGCAGAACGTCCTCCTTCAAAGTGACTTAATAGCCACACACTGGATAATTCTCCTGGTAGTGCGAGGTAACTGTTCTGACTCCTGTTTGCAGTGAGGAGGATACAGCCCAGGAAGTCGGCCATGACAGCAGAGAAACTCGAGAAAATGATCTACAGATAAAGCCAATTGAAAGGCTTAGCCCCACTGCTTTTAATGAGGCACAAATGGCTTCAGCGCTCTTTTCTTCCTGCTTCAGTACTTTGTGGGTCATGCCAAATCCTGTGCCAAACACACAGAGGAAGGTGTAAGTTAAAGTGGTGGGTGGAATCATTAAAAGTGTCATGAACACTGAATAATTCCAGCATCTGGCAAAGGCTGGATGTAAAGGAACTTTCTATTTAGAAGCAGGTGCCTGGGTCAATTAGGATTGATGGAAGGAGGGGGAAAAGGGGGAGAAGTAGAAAAGAAGTACCTGAAACTTATAATGGGAGGCTGATAAAATTCAGTAACCTCCGTGCACTCTCAGGAAAATGTAATGCAGGCTCTTCAAACAACAGAGAAGTTTCCTAAGAGTTTTCTCATTTTATGGAACAGCCACACAGAGGCCCGAGGGGAAATGTTTGATTGAAAACTAATGTGAAATCCCCAAATCTTAAAAGTTTGTTCAAATTATTCTCTCCTGCCTCCACCTCTGAGCTAACAGAGAAAGAAATCCTTGTGGTGGCCGTGTGATCCTGCAAAACATGGAGACAGTTTACTGTTAGCTAAGATTGCCCCAAGATGCCCACCGCAGCATTGCAAATCACATTATAGTTAGGAGAGAGGAATCTGATGTGAAGAGAAACTTCCCTTAAAAAGCAGATTCTTTTTTGAAAAGGTGCAACTGTATTTTTTTTTCTGACAACAGCACCGAGGGCTATGCAGATGTTCTATCAAGCAGCTGTGAAGAAGTTGCATAACATCCCAAAAAGAAAGCCTCGCAGACATTGATACAGGTGCTTCCATGAAAAGCACATGTTAGGTGTGCAGAGGTTTCCGTGAATGTGAATTCCAGCTTTTGTGAATAGCCTTTTACACTGCTCGTGTGAGTAGACAACTTGGATGAGCAACTATTCGTGAGAAAGGAAATCTGTGTCAAACATAGGAATTCAGGTTTCCAAAGCAGTTGAACAGCTGCATTAGTTGATGATTCTGCATGTCAGAATGTAGTTGAAGGTTTAAACGACTGGTTTTTTCATGTAACCCCCCCCCCCCGGTACGTTCCCACCTAGCATGTGTGCAAGAAGGCAAGGCTAGAAAGGTGGTTCTGTAATGCCTGACCGAGCTGCCCCACACTGCTGGCCTCCAGGTGCAAAGATGCCAGGCAAACACTCTCTGTGAGCCTCTGGCAAGGGCATGGGGCCTTTCAAAACCTTGCTGAAATGAGAATAGCGTGGGAAGGAGCTGCATAGGCAGAGCCAGGGAGGGAGATCTGAGAAGGAGGCACTGGAGTGAGGGGAGCTAGGCAGGCAGGAACAAGGAGATCTGGGGTATTTAGCATATTGGCTGGTTAGGGAAGGGCAGGCTATTTAAAAGAACTCATAAGGAGCCAGACGAGAAGAAGGGAACACAGGAAGAAGAGGAGATTGGATTTATATCATGCCCTTTACTGCCTGAAGGAGTCTCAGAGCGGCTTACAATCTCCTTTCCCTCCCCACAAAAGATACCCTGTGAGGTAGGTGGGACTGAGAGTGCTCTTTCGAGAACAGCTCTGAAAGAGCTTGTGACTGACCCAAGGTCAGGACATCGTGGGCAGAGTACAGCCAGGATGAGGACCCAGAGACAGAAAGTGGAGAGGAGAGGGGACCAGAGTGAGGGGAAGAGAACAAGGGTAGGCTAATGGAGCTAGAAAGGCCAAATGAAAGGTTGCAACCAGCAGCTGAAGAAAAGAAGGCAGCAGATGTGAATAAAGAAACAACCTGAGGGGCTGGAAGAGGGCAGCTGGGATCATGAGCCTCCTGGCTAGACACAGCTAAATGAGGCTGAATGAAGGCTACCATATTAAGTCTATGCTTTAACACATCAGAATAAAATATTCTTGAAGTGCTCTCCCATCTACAGCACCTTGTTCTCCTATGGAATCTTTGCTGTCTCACCCAGGAGTGGCTATGAGGTTTCAGAGTAGAAGAGCCTGTGTAGCCAGGACCAAAGGCTTGTGGTGGGATTTGTATTATGGGATAAAGCAGAGGTCCAAAGTTAGGGTAGGAAGATCAGCAGCGGGGAAACCTGGATCAGATAGTGTCAGCAGACTGAATTCATCAAGTCTTCATCTCACAATCTGTATTCCACATGAGCCTGAGCGTGAAGGAGCAGCTCAGTGAGCTCAAACGGGAACATGTTAGAAATGTACAAAACAAAGTTCAATCAGTAATTCATTCTCATTCCCCTTGCTCTCGCTGTATGACTGTTGTAAAAAAAGGTAGATCATCGGAGAGGAAATTACACAAAATTTCAAAAAACAACTCCGGGACTTTGAAGAAATATGCTTGAGTTTAAAAAAAACAAACAAACTGCTGTACCTTGCACCTCAATAGCTGAAAGTAATAGAAACCCATATAAATAACAAAAAAAAAAAGCCAAAATGAATAGCCTGGACTTCCTAGCCTTTCCTTGTGGAGCAGAACTTTGCTCGTAGGTGAGAGACACTGCTTCCATCTACAGGTGGAGATATGACTCTTCTTCTGGCATAACAAAGAAATATGAGGAACTTGAAACACCCGTCCATCTTTCTTCCTGTTCTCATGTGCAAAGCCAGCTCTAAGCAAAAATGAGGGTTAGGGATTTAAAGGATGACAAAATACAATATTCCCACTGGGAATTTGGACATTTGAGGCCATATTTGTTAGTTACTTTAAGGAAGTTATATTCATACTGATCTTGTTCTCTGATTTTTCCCCTCTGCCAGGAAATCTGTTGTCCAGCTGGACTTGGCCAATACAAAAAAGGCTCTCATTGTCCCTGCCTTTGAGACCCTCCGCTATCGTCTCTCTTTTCCTAAGTCAAAAGCAGAGCTGTTGTCTATGTTGGACATGGGAACCCTCTTCACATTCAGGTACTGCATTGCAGTTTTGTTTTTGTTGTTTTTTGTTGTTTTTAAAAAAAGATTTTTATCCCTTTCTGTTTCAAGGGTGGGAGACAGAGGGAAGGTTTAAAGAAAGGATACACAGCTTACACATACAGTAGTGAAGGAGCTGGGCTGTAGTATTAAGGTCACATGCTATTTAAAACTTTGCATATTGTATTGGCTTTATCATCAGTGGTCTTTAATGTTGCGCTGCATCAAACATGTACCCATTGGGACCGGCAGCATGCTATTAGGGGGCTGAATTATTTTCTAGTATATATACAAAATTCCTTGTAAACCTTTCTCACTGTCTGCACTTCCCCTGATCTGTTGGTGTTTTCAAAAAAACTAGGTCTTCTGTGATGGATTGCACAGGGAAGCAAGGTTTTTGTTTTGTTTTTTTTAAATCTGCTTTTTTCAGAGAATCTGGGAGATCAGGAGTTAATTTTCCCTGGAGTGGAGAGCTTATTTGATTGGCTGCTCTACACGTTCTCTGATTGGCCAACATTAGCTGAGAGCAAATATAACATCAGGTGTTCTGGAGGGAAAAGGATTATCTTCTGACAGAGGAAGGGATAACTCGAGTCAGTGTTCTGACAGGGTTAGTCAGGAAGAGTCTTCTACAGAGAGAAGAGACTCCTTTGCCCTAACAATATTAGAACTACTCTGAGGGAGAATTGTGATTCTGAGTCAAGAAAGCTAACAACAACAACAACAACAACAAAAGACTGCTTTACACAGACAACAGATATGGGAAAAGAGATTTGGCAAGGGTAACTGGGTTGTTAGGCTATAACTCCCAATCAAGCCAAACAGAAAAGGGAAAAGAAGAATAATTCCTGCCAGTAAAAAGAGGTTGTGCTCTGTGGAGAACCTGGGTCTGCGGTAAAGGGAGTAAGCTTTAGACATCTCGGGAGTTAGTGGGAAGCTACAATTTTCTGAAGTGAGAAACTAGATTTTCTAAAGGGAGAAATCTAAGAAAGAGCTATTACCCAGGGAACTCAATTAAGATTCTGTGTAATTGCTGAAATATACTAAGGCCCTGTTCACACGGAGACGTTGCCCTGCTAAAGACACGAATGACAGGCAGATTTTCGGTGTGCGATCACACCGCAATATCTGGGAAGCGTAGTGCACCTGTGGCAAACCCGTGGCTTCCCGCCAAAGATGCAGAGTAAAAAACTACTGCAGAAAGCGCACTAGTTTCCAGAAACCGTGGGGCAGGGGCGGGCATCTGATCGCGTTTCCACTTGAATCCCGTGGCATCCAGCGCCCGTCCATGTCCTGCCGCAAACCAGATTTTTTTAGTCTCCACAAGATGTGCACAAGCGCCCAACAGCGCATGCGCAAACACCAGTGAGGGGGGGAATCCCGTTTGCCACGGAAGCGGTGCCTAGCAATTGCTGATGTGATTGTGCTGCGCCGCTTCTTTGCCGCGCTTCAGGATAGCCATGTGATCGGCACCTAATGGCCTAACTACGGGAACTTGACTGGATGTGTGCTCAGGCTGCCACGCTTTACTTTGCTCCGGGGCAAACAGCCACACTTCCCCCCCCCCCGCGTTTTCCGGCCCGTGTAACCGGGGCCTAAGAAAAGTAGTTCTCATGGAAAAGAACTAGAAATCTCTTAAAAGAAGTTACAACAGCATTCTCTCAGAGTTTTACCTCATCATTTCTAAGCCATGACTTCCTACGTGTGTGTGTTTGTATAAAATTCCCTGTCTGTTAAATAAAATATTCTGTTTTGAAATTTATTCTGCCTCAAGTGCCATTTTAAAAGGGATTAAAAACAAGACAGCTCCTTTATTTCCCTCAAGTTCCTGTGCTGGGTCAGAAGGCTAAACAAATATCTGGAACAGGGTGGGACAGTTTAGTCTTTTAAGACAAAGAAGAAATACACATTACTTGGGGGTGACTCAGTCACTGAGGGGAACTAAAATTTTGGTGGGAAAATCTGCCTGAGAGTTGGGAAGTGACAGGAGTCTGTCATATCTTCTTATTAGGAGCAGGGCTTACAGCCAGTTGGAATCACATGGTGAACACGATAATGCCACAGTACTATGTAGTCAGTCAGAACTGGCTGCATGGCAACATCACATAGTCAGTTGGAAGTGAGTGTATTCCTTCATGCAGCAGCAGTGCCCCCACTCTGAATGGGCAAATATTTTGCCAAGTAATGAAACAGGGCTCCTTCTGGAGGAGATATATTCCTGGCCATTCCTACCCGGAGCTCTCCAAAGGGCAGGAATCCCACAGGAGCAGTTTTCAGAAATATAATTATTTTTTTGCCGCTGAAACTTTTTTTCTGAAAAATATCCCCCTTAATTTTTTTAAAAAAAATATATGCCAGTTTGGTGTAGCGGTTACGTGCGCGGACTCTGATCTTGGAGAACCGGGTTTGATTCCCCACTCCTCCACTTGCACCTGCTGATGTGACCTTGGGTCAGTCACAAGCTCTGGCACAGCTGTCCTTGAAAAAGAGCAGTTTGTGTCAGAGTTATCTCAGCCCCACCCACCTCACAGGGTGTCTGTTGTGGGGAGGGGAAGGGAAAGGAGTTTGTAAGCCACTCTGAGACTCCAAGTGAAGGGCGGGGTATAAATCCAATCTCCTCTTCTTCTTCTTCTTCTTCTTCTTCTTCTTCTTCTTCTTCTTCTTCTTCTTCTTCTTCTTCTCCTTCTCCTCCTCCTCCACCAACCTACTTCCTATATAGAGAAGCAGAAAACCTGTGTATACCAGCATGTTCAGAGCCAGTGTGGGAGCCAGCATGGTGTAGTGGTGGAGAATGGCAGACTCTAGTGTGGAAAACTGGGTTTGATTCCCCATTGCTCCACCTAAAGCCTGCTGGGTGACCTTGAGCCAATCGCAGTTCCTTCAGAATGCTGTCAACCCCACCTACCTCACAAGGTGCCTGTGGTAGGGAGAGAAAGGGAATGTGACCGTAAGCCGCTTTGAGACTCCTTAGGGTAGAGAAAAGTGGGGCATAAAAACCAACTCTTCTTCTTCTGCCATCGCTAGGAAGCAGCATTATGGGGCAGCCTCAGCCCTTTTGCCCTGTTTGTTTGGCCCTCCATGGCAACTGATCAGCCACTGTGTGAAACAGGATGCTGGACTAGATGGACCACTAGTCTGATCTAGTAGGGTTCTTCATATGTTCTTATCCTACAGCTTAGCCCTACTTTAAACATACAGGTAGTCAGTAGCTGAGTCAGTTCGTGTTTAATATGACTATATCCTCTTGAAAGAAAACATTCACTGAGTGTTTCCTCAAGATACTTATATTTTTCAGTACTACAGTATAGAATATTCTTGAGCTCCAACAGGAAATTTATTACTCCTTAGCTAAAAAGTGTTCTGTGGTCTGCTCTGCACCTTCCTACTGAGTTTCCTTCTTGTCACCCCAGAATGCAGCAGCAAACGAGCTACGCTCAGTATCAAACTTGAGTAAATCTTATTTAAACCGTACTACTTTTTATTCTGGTTAATTACTTTTTCAGTAGTGTTAGTAGTGCATTGTCCTTTCCCATGTGAGACAGCACAGAGAACCATTTAAAATTACAGCAGCTGTGGGTAAGTCATTCTTCCTCTTGATTGTCTCAAACGTTGCTCTGCAAGATGAGTTTTATTCCTTTTGAGCCAGTAGGAGATTGTATAGCATAAATGGATTAGAGACTGCTTCTGTGAACATCACTGCCCTTCCTGCAAGTCCCCTGAGATCTTCTGCCTTAAGTGGAAAGTGATGGGCTCTTGTTTCTCTCAAGACCTAGTGTCAGGCTTGCAGCTAAGAGATGGACAGAGAAGATTAATCCAGATCACTTCAAGAGCACATCAGGACACAACCCCTTAGTCCTCCAAAACAATTCCTTTTAGATCATATGCCGTGAAAGTATCACTAAACAGTTTCCCCATGGCTGCCTTTTCTCCTTCACAAACCAGAGTGCTGAGCCCAGAATCAATGCAGTATACCAGCACAATTTTATCTCGACAGCTCTTCTCACCATTAAACATTGCGAGCCTGATTCCGAGCTTTGGTGTCACACACTAAAACCATTTTGCGGCAACTGGCTCATGATCAGCAAGATATAAAACATGGAGCTTAATGTTGGACACACCAGGAAGCTCCATTATCCATGGTTGTGTGATACAATCCCATCTTTAATCTGTTACATTTTAATCCTGCCAGGTCCTCACAGAGTTCGTGGTAGTATATGTGGTGTGACGGGGGGACTGAGAAGCTTGCCACAGCAGGTGTGCCAATCCAACTGGGAGTGGTCCAGCTGATGACATCACATCTGGTAGCTGCTGATACACTTCCAGCTGGATCAGCAGCAACTAGATGTGATGTGATGACCTGGATCCCATGTTGACACCACTGTGCCAAGATCAGTGGAGATATAAGGACTCCCCCCAGCCTGATTGCTGGGAGCAGAGCTGAAATGCAAACCAGAGCCAGCTCCAGTACCTATGCTCTTGCTCTTCCTCCTGACTTTCAACCAGAGGAGAACAGGAGCTAAAAGGCATTTTCTGAGTTTAAGGCTCCAGCCTACAAATTGTTCTCAGAAGGGTTCTGAACAAAAGGGACAAGGAGAACACCCAGCATGAGGTACCTGGAAACCACTTCCAGCAACCAGTGATGCACCAGTGACTGGAACAGTGCTCAAAACAAACTCTCTGATACCCCCTGGGATGAGGCTGTGATGAGGTCAGACCCCCAATAAGGAAGGCTGAGGTGCTCAGCAGACTTTATACCAAAGGCAGAAGCTGTGAGATAACTGTGGTTCTGTTCTTCACAATGATTTTGTGTTGTGTTTTTTTCCCCCAAGTTGTTCATAGTCAGGAGTTAATGGTTAATGCCAAGATGTTTAGTGCTTTGGAACCATTCATCTGGGAGGTTTCAGGGAACAATGTGGTATTCCTAGAGACACTTTCTATTCATTTTTGTTGTATAGTCTGCCCCCTACTAGTGTGATACAACTATAACCCTACCTGTAGGAGTGTAACATCTAAGAGAATTTGTATTCTGTGGCAGACAGTCCATCTGATCATTATGCAGCAATATCTTAGGGCTTCTACCTGAGTATGTTTTATTCCTGCCTTTCTGTCCTCTTTCTTCTTTTGTGTTATGTGCATTATATTGAGAGCAGTTGTTCAGAATCATAAGCTGCCTTGGGTGCAATGACAGCAAAGTGATATATAAATATACTGAGTAAATAAATCTGAAAAGGACAAGTGGTTGTCTTCACTCCAGGCTGGCCAAGACTGCACAGGATTGTAACCCTTGCAGGAGACCGGGGGGTGGGGGTTGTATCTCAACAGGCTAGCCTCATAAGAGCCAGGAGACTAGCTCCAGCTCCCTCTGACCAGCCAGAGCCAGGAAATAGCACGGGGAGGAGCAGAGGAGAGCTGAGTGAACTTAACCACTTCCTCCCTCTGGACTGAGGCTTTTGGGGGCCCCACTGAGGAAGTACTGTGGAGGATATGCAACCCCCTGCCAACCATAGTGAGAACAGGGCCTTTCCAAGTACCCCAGTTGGTTGGATTCAAATTTTCCCCTCACAAACACTGTGCATTGGATGTTCAGACTTACAGCCAGCCCCATCTTCAGTACAAAATACTGAACGTATATGCCACCTGCATAGACACCAAACATTTCTGTCTTAGAGGCAATAACCGGCTGTTGTTCAGACCCACCAGTGGGAGAAAGGCACCCAAGGAATGATGCCACTTCTCATATTTTCAGTAATATGAAAAGCAGTGAAGCATTCTTAAAAGTGCCCCTGAAGTGCTGAGGAAATTGTTTTTCAGAAATCTGAAGGAAACCACTCTTGTTGTCACTTTAATTTATGAAGGCTGACCATAAAAACATGTCACGGAGTCCACCAGCCCCTCTGCACAGCCTTCAATAACAAACATAGAGGAGTGCTGCTTGCCCTCTGTGCTTGGTGCCTTGCTCCCCTCTGACACGGCTTTTGCTGCAGACGAGCACAGAGGCCAAACTGAATAGCGGAGAAGAGGAGACAGGGGAGGATGTGTCCTTACAAAAAGAAAGAACATCGCGCTAAGGCATTCCACCATTGCAGGGTATTTTTAATACAATAATTAAGATGTTTTTTAAATTAGGAAAATAACTGCTTCTTTCATAGTAAAAGGTAAATCTGCTGGAAAATAAAACCTATAAATCTTGACCTCTCTTTCATGATCCATCATCAATCACATTTTCTACTTGCATAGCCCTTGTTTCCCGCTAGAGACTTGCTTTTTTCTGATTAACAACAAAGTGCAAGGATGGGGGGGGCACTGCTAGGGGATTCTCATCTTTGCACAGTTCAATTTCACACACTTTCCTTGGCCCCTGTAATACCTTCTAGTGCTCCACAGCAGCTGCCCATTTCCACCTCTGTTTCCAAGGTGGCTTAATAAGTCTTTAGTAACCAGGGAGGCCAGGTTGATGGGAAAGGGATGTTATGACAGCGATTGCTGATCAGGCCCACAGTAGCCCAAACCCTCTCACCAGAACCAGATTGCAATCTTTCCCTCGGTGAAATTGCTTTTATCACCTCTTTCCTAAAACTCTGACCTTTCCTGCCTTTGGGCAGTTCAGAAATACAAATTAGTTCTCAGTCGTAAATTCTCTTCTTCCCCCCCCCCCCCCAGCAAATATTGCCTGGATATGCTGAGCATAAGATCTTTCCTAATGAAAAATCATGTATGTCTTCATTGTGGGTTTGGTATCATGCAAGGTTACCAAGATCTGATTTGCTAAAGGGACTTTTTGGGTGCTTGGGCTGTCAGTAGCACAATGAAAGCCCAGCCACGCGAATATTGGCACTTTCACTCACTGAGTCACAACCAACTTGCACATTAACTTGCAGGATTGTTCCTTGGTCCTAGAGTGCTGCCTCCTCAATGGTCCAAAGGCACTCTGTATTATTTATTTACATTGCTGAAAGAGTTAGGAAATTATGCCCTCTCCAGGTAGTGTAGGGAGGGGTGTTACTAAAAGTGTATACATCTATACTCACTGTCTCATCCTGGGGTATTTATATGCAAAGCATAGTCTTATATACATAGTATTAACATTGCTTCAGGGGCATGATTGTCAGAAACCTGCGTTTCTCCATGTCTTTGGGTGATCATGCAGACCAAAATTGTAGTTCCGAGACCAAGAAGAGATTTCTCACCTCTCGCTTCCACTCATGCTTGCCTTCCTCGCCTGCCTTCTTTCAAAGCATCATGTTGTCAAGACGAGTACAAAGACCTCTGTTGCAGAATTCCTGAGGATTTTATGGAGAGTAATTGGATGGTTTGAGAACTGTACAAATGGTATTTTATTTTATTGAAATCTAGGGGTACTGCATCTTCCAAGCAAAACATGGCCATACCAGAAATCCCATGATGATGATGGTGGTGGTGGTGGTGATGGTGATGATGATGATGATGATGATGATGATGATGATGATGATGATGATGATGATGATGATGATGATGATGTTGATGTTGATGTTGATGTTGATGTTGATGTTGATGTTGATGATGATGATTTGATTAACAGAAGCCCAGTGGCACCTTAAAGACTAAACTTTATTCCAGTAGGAGCTTTCATGCAACAGAGCTCACTTCTTCAGATACAGTGGCACACTGGATTTTCTGTTTTATTTTGCTTTAGTAGATCGTAGACTAACAATAGCCACCCCACTGGTTAATTAACAACTAGACCGGGACCCTCAAGACCAGAATAAACACAGAGAAGGAACCAACTATTTTACTCTAATTCCCAACACTCCTCAACAGGACATGGTACCTTTTTAAGTTAGAGCCTCCCCTGTCCTTTGAGGCACATGGCAGATGTAACTCCTTATCTAATTCATCACTGCAGTAAACTTCTGAGGAAGGTCGGCATCATTCTCATGTTATAGTTGAGGAACCAAGGCTGATAGAGGGGAGCCATCCAGTGGGTCATTTTGCACATTCCATAGAAGGCTTTTCTTAGTTCTAGGTATGTGTATCCAGTCAGCACCATCCCTGCCACAGGCCTGACTCCTCATGTATTATCCAAAGGTGTTTCAGGTATGCTGGATCACCTCCAATACACCCCAAAGGTATGGGGAGAAAAATATGTATTCACCACATCTGCGGAATCACCCAGTTATATGGCAGTGGTGAAAAAGGCAAACTCCATGCTGAACATTATTAGGAAAGTGACTGCGAATAAATGGCCAATATTGTAGTGCCCTTATATAGACTTACGGCATGGCTTCATTTGGAATACAGCATGCAGTTGTAGTTGCTATTGAAGAGATGGGGAAAGTACCAAAGAGCTCAACCTTGATGAATAAGGTGTTACAGCACGTTTCCTACAAGGGAAGACTGAAGATTCTGGGACTTCTCAGACTAGAAAAAGATGGCTAAGGGGGACATGATAGATTTATACATTCATGCATGGGGTGGAAAAAGTGGATAGAGAGCTTTTTCTTCCTTTCCTATAATACTAGAACTCAGGGGCACCCAGTGAAGTTGTTGAGCAATATGTTTAGGGCAGACAGAAGAAAATGCTTCTGTACTTACTGAATAATTACATTGTGGAATTTACTGCCAGTGGATGTAGTGATAGTTAGGAGTGTAGATGGCATTAAAAGGGGATAGACATATTTATGGAGGATTGGTCTGTTAACAGCTACTAGTTATAGTGAGTTAAGGGAGCCCCCCATATACAGAGGCAGCAAATGTCTGAAGTACTAGTGCTGGGAAGTAGCATCAGGGGAAGACCTTGTTTGTTGACCTTGCGAGGCAACTCATTGGCTGCCATGTGAAAAAGGATGATGGACTAGATGGACCAGTGGTCTAATCCAGCATGGCTCTTCTTATGAATGTACAAATGAGTCATGTGATGCCAGGTTTATAGATACTGTACCTCTGTTTGGGTTCAACATTTCCAGAGAATTCATGGGTGACCTGAGAATTGACACAGGGTATCCTGAGTGTTTGTTTGTATAAGATTGTACACTTGGTTACACTGGCTCTTGTGTTAAATATTTCAACACATGGTAATGCATATTGCTTGTTATATATTTCTTTTTTGGCTGAATCAATTGACATGTGGCAAGAGCCCCTGTCAGTGATTTCTGGATGGCATGAGGGACATAAGTGCAAGAGAGGATTATCGATCGTTGTCTTAATGGGGTGAGCCCAAGCTGTGCTAAGATAGGCTCTGCTGTGACATGAATAAGATTAACAAAATATAAAAAGGTCCTTTCCTGTAAATTGAATTGATTGTTTTAGATGGAATTGTGTAGAACGGCATATGGCAACAAAATGATAGCTGCAGTGGCACTGAAAGTATTTATCTCGGTCTTTTTTAATGCATTTATTGATCTGATTTCCACCATAATAACAAAGAAACACTGCTTCAGAATGCTGCATGCCTTCAAAACAAGCTCCAGAATTAAAAAATAATAAGCCATTATCATCCCTGGAAGCAGTACTGAGCTCATTTTCCAAAACCTTACTTTGCAAGGCAACATCTCAGCTGTATTGCAATATTGGCACTCCTTTTAAAACTTGAACTGAAGTGTCATCGTCTTAAGAATACTATACCATTATTTTTTTCCTAATCAATCATGGACATCTTTTTTGATAGAACCACCACACTATAATTACAGAAAACATTAATTTCTCCATCATATGCCCTCTAAAATCCATGTAAGCCATGGAACTAATGGCTCAGTCATCATATATTCCGCTGGCAATCAAATATCAAGTGGCTTTCAAGTTTTATCCCTTCTTCTTCCAGCCAATGACTTTTACTGTCTGTTCAAGGTATCACGTCTGGACAAAAGGGCATGCACCAACAAACTTTGCCAAGTGGCGAACAGCCACTACACCCTATCGAGTTGAGTGGGAAGCTGACTTTGAGCCATATGTCGTGGTAAGGCGGGACTGCCCAGAGTATGACCGAAGGTTTGTTGGATTCGGATGGAACAAAGTAGCCCACATCATGGAACTGGATGCACAGGTAAGAAGGAGAATGTTGACATGATGACAATCTCTCTTCCCAGTGGCCCGGTTCCAATGTAATATTTATATACGGAGTGTTTAAAAGATTCCCCCCCTCTCCATATTGTATCATCATTAATTGGGAAAAGCTTAGAATTCTCTGGAAATAAAAGGAAGAGCTATGAATGTCGCAGCTAAAAAGGCATTGCTGTTAACAAGTGGCATTCTGCAATCTCTGCTTATCACTTGTTCCTGATGGCTTCCAGTTATAATACAGCTCTGCTTGCATATGTTTTGTGAAGATATAGCCAAGTCTCTTCTCACTTCAGTAACATTAACGGTGACTGGATGGCTGCTCGGTTCTTTTCAGGCTACACCCATCTGCTAGACAGTTTGGTACATGTATGTGTAACTTTTTTAATTGGGGGGAAGCATTCAGATCCCTCCTAAAGTCTGAAGCAGCACACTCCAGCAAGAGGTGTATGCTGGACTTCATCAGCAGTGTAGCAAAGTTTTTGTTTTCCAAAGTAGTGTAGTGCTAAATTTTCACCAGGTTTGCTTTTTGGCACACGTTGTTTTACTGGGCAGAACTCCCATTTTAAAAAACCAATCTTTTGCGAAATTTGCTTTTCTCATTGAATAATACAAAAATGTAATCTTTTCTCCTTTCTTTGCAAATACTTTGACAAGACAGAGTGAGAGATACAGATCACACTGTAGCTTTCATTCTTTAGAGAGGCAGTGGCCACTTTAAATGACAAACTCTTTCATTCGTGTTCCTTTGTGTCCCTAAAGGATCACCAGAACTGGAGGACACTTTTTTATGGGTGATGAAAAAAGTTCCCCAAATATGGATCCCCATTAGGGGAACTTTAAACATTATTGTTTTAATTTTCTGTTAGAAAGTCTAGAAGGGCATTATAATTTTGATTAAATGTCAGAATTGTTGTTATTCTGAAAATATTGGAACAATCTTGACCTTCCAGACTTTCAAAAAAACCAATAATTTCACAAGTGTGTCCTCTTCCAGCAGCAGCAAGAGCAGGAAGGAAGGCAAAGAGGAAAGCTCCCTGGCCCCTCAGCTGGCCCATGCCTCATCAGTCTTTTAAAGAATCATTATTCTGAATAGGAAGACTTGGCAAACTCCAGAGGCCAAGTGTACCACCCTCCAACAATGGTCCTTTAATGCTTAAAAGAACCACTGAACAGCTGCAGGGGTGGTAAATAATGTGTAGTAGAGCAAGCTGTGGGACTCCAGAGCCCATTCTTTTCAGTGGGAGGGTTAGAGAATGGAAGGTAGAGCTGGTCCCCAAATTCAGAGGCCAGATCTACTGCCTGTTGAAATAATGGCCTTTTAAACTTCAACGGGTCATTGTCTGCAGTGGCCAGGATAGCAGCCAACCCAGATGTGGGCTTTCTCCTCCCTTGCGGAGAACCAGAACTGCTAGGAAGAATGGAGGGCCGCCCCAGCCACTCAATGTTTAAAGGACCATTCTTTTCTTTTCTCCCCCCCCCCCCATAGGATATAGCACAGACATCTGGACAGTTTTCATAACCTTCCAAATGGGAGTAGTAAACAATTTTTTTCCATGCCCAATACAGTCATCATCCCAATTCTTAAGAGAATTTATAAAAATATTTTTAATCCAATAATCCTGATAAGGTAAAAATAAGTGTTTTATAGCAAATGATGGGCAGAGCCACTGGCTATGAGTAGGGCTATCAGGTTACAACCTAGAGATTCTCCCTGTAACTTTAAATTTGCCACCAGCCGGGATGAGACAGCAGCAGCAGTGCATTTTGTCCTGCTTTACCTCAGTCCTTTGTTCTGATCCCTCTCCCCACAAGTGCAGCTAGCAGGGCTGCAGGCATGCCACAGGCCAAGATGGGGGTGGGGGGAGGCAAAAGGACTAGAGGTAGAAAACATGTGGAAGAAGTTGTGCCTGCCTCATCCAGCAACTTGAGGCTTCCACCTAAGAACTCTATGAGAGAACTTACATTTATTTTAAATGCCATATGTTCATTACTGGAATCACACTTCTCCACTTCCTTTTGCATGTTCGGTTGCCAATTTCCAACTGGAAGTTTTGTTTTGTTTGTTTGTTTTTAAGGTGCAGAAGCATCTTTCAAATCTACATGACTAACTCCATAAACAAAGCCCATACACTAGTTTGACATGCTTTACATTTACATTGTTAAACCACCAAAAGTTGTCTTTGAATGACAGCACTAACTGAAACTGCATAATTAATGCAGGAGATTGGAAGTACTTTCATTTCTCCTATGAAGGCAATTTCATATGTCACAAAATTGCAGCAGACTTCAAGATGTCAGACAACAACAGACCTTGGGTCAGATGGCAACTGTGTGGCTGGTTTTTAAGTTCATGCTGATTTAAAAAAAAAATTAACTCATTTTCAGTAGGCAGTAGGCCAGGCCTCTCTAGGCCATGTCTACCACCCATTATTTAAAGCACACACACCCAGCTGTTCAACAACGCAGCTCCCTTTAAAGGGACATTATTTTCAGTGAGGAGTAAACTTGGCCTTCAGAGTTTGGAGGCCAAGTCTTCTCACTGAAAATAATGGCCTTTTAAAGTTTTAAAGGCTGTTGTGCCAGCTATGAAATAGTGGGAAAGCCTTTCACAGTAGTGGATATTGCCAATCTAGTCTGATACAGGAAATATCAGATTATATCAGGTCAGCAATATCCACTCACACATCCCTGATCCCCATTTCAGTTCCTCACTAATCAGGAAAAAAATCATTAAGGGACAGCCTTTGTTACTAGCAGGGACTTTCTTGACCCACAGCACTGATCAAATAGGAAACCAGCTCTCACCACAGTAATATAAGACCTCACCTCATAAATGTGTCATAAGAAAACTGTCACTCATGACACAGAGCATGTAGACAGGAAGCAAAGAAACAGCTGCCTGTATAGAATTGTCCATGTTCCTTTCCCCCAGAATTAGCTTTTTAGCTCCAGCCCCACTGGATAAAGCAACACAGAAAATCTGGTCAAAAGTTGGTACACATGGAGAACAAGCTGATAAATGTCAGTTAATTGTAACTAGAAAGTACCAGCGGGAGCCTTTCTCCACTGTTTCCTTTTTCCCTTCCTGAAAGCCCCCATAGCCTGTCTTCCTGCTTCCTTCTCTCCTTCCCCCCAGCAGCCAACCTACCTTTATCTGCCCCTCTGTCTTCAGCTCCCCCCCCCGGCAACCTCTACCTAGGAAAATTTTCTAGGTAATTTTCTAAGAAGTTGCAAGGACAAGAAACAACAACATAACAATCTGTAATCTGTTAGCTAGATAAAAACAACACACAAGTTAAAGCCATTTTGGACTCCTTAGGTCAGTGGGAAAACAAGGAGTTTGGCAGCAGAGTCTTTGGAAATAATAGGGCTAGTCTGCAGGGGTTAGAAGAGGCTGTAGCTCACTGGTAAAGCACATGATCTGCATTTGGCAGAACCCATATTTAATTTGTGGCATCTGAAGTTAAGAGGCAGCCCTCTTGACAGATCAATGGCAGACATGGAACAGCCAGAGTAAGCTATACTGGGTTAGGAGACCAGTGGTATTAAGGTATAAGGCAATTTCATATCTTCAAATGCAGCCTATATTTCCACTGATGTGAGAGGGAATAATAGTTGATGTAAGTTTTATGTTTGATTGTGTATATGCTACTGCCCCTTTAAGACTGAACCATGTAGCATTCTGGGTAATGGAGATGTCAGAGATGACAGCTAGCCAACTTAAATGCTGAAGTGATTTTGGGGTGTTTTAATTAATGTTTGGTGTACTCTGAAAAAATAAAAATTAATATTTCCCCAATTGGATTATAACACTGACAATATTTCTGGGATTATAAATTACAAGAGGCAGGACCCGCGATACTCGCGGGGGGGGGGGGATCCACACTGATCAGGCAGAGGAGGAAGCAGCAGGAGGGGGGAAGCTTCCTCCCATCCCGCCGGGTCCCCCCCCGCTCCC